AAACCGCACCCAACCTGCCATCAGAGGAAGGGCAACGCATCACATCAGTTATTGCAAGTAGGCCTATACAAATACTGTAATTATGCTATTACAGTCCCTTTATTGCATATTTGTCATAATTCAGTAAAGATTTTAAACCGCCACTAGTCTTCGCTACTCACCGGTAGTGGCAGTGGAAAGAGACGCGCACAAAGCTGCCAATATGCACAACCGCATAACCTAAAGAGAATGAACAATTGTTAATTTCACTAACGTTATATGAAAAATCTTGCTAATCTTTTGTGGGCACATATTACTTTCACTTTCAAATAGCAATCTAAAATATATTCATTGGCCTTATGGTCCATCGTCGCTAAATCCATTTAAATACTGTATTTCCGCAATAGTTTATAACAAACGAGACAAAGGTAAAGCACGGTATGCCACGATGTAGCTGTAAAAGTCTAGGCCTACTTACTGTATTCAGGGCCCTCGAGCTGGCTTTTTCAATCACGCAAGGTGGCATGTCGTGCGTCAAATCTCTGACAAATCTCGACATCCAAATAAAGTCGGGAAATATTAACGCTAACAAATCTTTACCATGTAATATCTAAATCACACTTGTGCAAATAACTTGACTTGATCTTCCCCGGACAAGACCGTTGAACAATACATGTACTGTGCTTATTCGTCGCAGTTTCCTTTCACTTTCGAATTTGTTCAAAAAAAATCTGAGCGGGATCACTGATGATCATGTTTCCAACCTCAACAAATGAGTCATAGTGTAAGTGAGTCGTAGTGTATTGTAGGTGGTCCTCTGTAGCTCAGCTGGTAGAGCACGGCGCATGTAACGCCAAGGTAGTGGGTTCGATCCCCGGGACCACCCATACACAAACAAATAATAATCTATGCAATTTTGGATAAAAGCGTCTGCTAAATGGCATATTATTATTATAGTGGGCAGAACAACAAGGAGGTGGGCAGAGCCAACCACGAACTAGCGAGATCCTATTGGCCCGTTCTAGCACATATATTTGCATATTTCAGTTAGGGAACGCCTACTCTGTGAAGTGCGCGTGTGCTCTAACTCTATTTGCCTTTGCACTCCTTCTAAACAACGCTATTTTTTAATACTTTGGCAAAGGGTAAAATCTACAAAACTTCATCCACTCTGTTCATAACAGATCCTAGTTTTGGGAACAGAAAACTGTATTGAGATCAAACGTTTCATTGATGAGAAAATGCGCAGAATGTAGGTGAAAATCCATCTCCTTCCATCTTCTCCCACTGTCAGCCGCAGGGCATCCTCTCACTACCATATGTGGACATCTCGACAGTTTTTGGTAAACGTCTGAGGAATGGGGCTGGAGAAATGTAACCACTCTTATATTCATAGACAGAGTTATGAATGCAAGGACCTGGTGCAACGCTTCACTCCTCATATTCTGAGACTTATGTTTTGTTGTACGTTGTCTCTGCTAAATAAACGTGATAAATAAATAATCAGTGGTGGAAAAAAGTAACCAACTGTCATACTTGAGTAAACGCAAAGATACCTTAACAGAAAATGACTCAAGTAAAAGTGAAAGTCACCCAGTAAAATACTACTTCAGTAAAAGTCTAAAAGTATTTGGTTTTGAATATACTTAAGTATCAAAAGAAAAACTATGAATCATTTCAAATTCCTTAAATTAAGCAAACCAGATGGCACAATTGTCTTGTTTTTTAAAAATTTACAGAGAGCCAGGGGCACACTCCAACACTCCAACATAATTTACAAACGAAGCATTTGTGTTTAGTGAGTCCGCCAGATCAGAGGCAGTAGGGATGACCAAGGATGGTCTCTTGATAAGTGCCTGAATTAGACCATTTTCCTGTCCTGCTAAGCATTACAAATGTAACAAGTACTTTTGGGTGTCAGGGAAAATGTATGGAGTAAAAAGTACATTACAAATGTAGTGAAGTAAACGTTGTCAATAATATAAATAGTAAAGTGAAGTACAGATACCCCCAAAAAACTACTTAAGTAGTACTTGAAAGTATTTTTATTTAAGTACTTTAAACTACTGTAAATAATACATATTGCCTATTCAGCTCAAGCTAAACAATGCTAAACCACATATTTTACTTGCAGTACAGGAAATGATACTAGATGGAATCTCAAATTCACATTTGATGGTCTGATGGTTTCCCGTGTGAACAGGACAATAATAAAATAATGAAATGATGAAAGAGGCCATTTTACTGTGAGATATTCATTGAACAAAGTACAGCCCAAACAGAATGGCATTTGGAGTATACATGAAGTACTGTAGTTCTTGAGATGGAGGGGTGTCATGATATGTCAGTGTTATCATCATGACTAAACCAGTTGGACATTACAAGCATCTATGTCTAATCTGAATCCTAAAGAAACCCACCCCTCTTCACAGACCTCTTTTTCTACACTTGACATTTCTGACAATACAATGTACAAATTCTAGCTTGGCAACATGACAATAATGAAAGCCAGGAAGAAGTAATGAAAGAGGCCTTTTTACTGTGAGATATTTATTGCATTTCCGTGACTGCTCAAAACGTGTTTTCTCATGGGGTCTCGTCCCTCTGCAGAACACAAACACAGTGAGCAAAATGTTTGGAACATTGAATCACAGCATCAATATCGCAGTACATATAGAATCGTGAGAATCGCAATACATATCGTTTCGGCACCTAAATATCGTGATATCGTATTGTGAGGGTCCCTGGCAAAAAATACTTTTCTGGTTTGTCACAAACTTTATTCCCACATACACGTTTGTAGAATGCCCCACCCCTCCGGCTTTGAGTGACAGCAGCATGACCAATGAGCTGCCGGGCGCATTGCTCTTGAACTCCAGGATCACCTGAGCCCGCCTCTTCTGGCTCAGTGCCATCCAGACGCACAAACCTGAATACCTGCTCCCTGAGTGGGATATCCTGAATACCTGCTCCCTGAGTGGGATATCCAGTAGGGTGAGGAAGCGTGTGAACAGAGACAACAAGATTCTTGATGTCGTTGTCCTTCACTGCGCAGAATGAGCAGGCTAGACAGAGCCTCCACCAGTCTGAGCAGGCTAGACAGAGCCTCCACCAGTCTGAGCAGGATAGACAGAGCCTCCACCAGTCTGAGCAGGCTAGACAGAGCCTCCACCAGTCTGAGCAGGCTAGACAGAGCCTCCACCAGTCTGAGCAGGCTAGACAGAGCCTCCACCAGTCTGAGCAGGCTAGACAGAGCCTCCACCAGTCTGAGCAGGCTAGACAGCCTCCACCAGTATGAGCAGGATAGACAGAGCCTCCACCAGTCTGAGCAGGCTAGACAGAGCCTCCACCAGTCTGAGCAGGCTAGACAGAGCCTCCACCAGTCTGAGCAGGCTAGACAGAGCCTCCACCAGTCTGAGCAGGCTAGACAGAGCCTCCACCAGTCTGAGCAGGCTAGACAGAGCCTCCACCAGTCTGAGCAGGCTAGACAGAGCCTCCACCAGTCTGAGCAGGCTAGACAGAGCCTCCACCAGTCTGAGCAGGCTAGACAGAGCCTCCACCAGTCTGAGCAGGCTAGACAGAGCCTCCACCAGTCTGAGCAGGCTAGACAGAGCCTCCACCAGTCTGAGCAGGCTAGACAGAGCCTCCACCAGTCTGAGCAGGCTAGACAGAGCCTCCACCAGTCTGAGCAGGCTAGACAGAGCCTCCACCTTGGAGCGGCTCTCCTCTTCTTCGTGAGGAAACTCCACCAGATCATGGGCCTTGATCTGGCCTCTGCATAGAGGGCACCGCTCCTGCTCGGTACATATGACCTCTGCGGTGCAGTCTGCAGTAGACGTGTGCACAGTGTGATAATGGGCAGACGGACAGAGCAGACCCATAGCACACACTGCCCGGCTTCAGCCTCAGCCTCTCTATGACATCCACTGCCCAGCTTCAGCCTCATCCTCTGTATGACGTCCACTGCCAAGCTTCAGCCTCATCCTCTCTATGACGTCCACTGCCCAGCCTCAGCTTCAACCTCTCTATGACGTCCACTGCCCAGCTTCAGCCTCAGCCTCTCTATGATGTCCACTGCCCAGTTTCAGCCTCAGCCTCTCTATGACGTCCACTGCCCAGCTTCAACCTCTCTATGACGTCAACTCTCCAGCTTCAGCCTCAGCCTCTCTATGACGTCCACTGCCCAGCTTCAGCCTCAGCCTCTCTATGACGTCCACTGCCCAGCTTCAGCCTCAGCCTCTCTATGACGTCCACTGCCCAGCTTCAGCCTCAGCCTCTCTATGACGTCCACTGCCCAGCTTCAGCCTCTCTATGACGTCCACTGCCCAGCCTCAGCCTCTCTATGACGTCCACTGCCCAGCTTCAGCCTCTCTATGACGTCCACTGCCCAGCTTCAGCCTCAGCCTCTCTATGACGTCCACTGCCCAGCCTCAGCCTCTCTATGACGTCCACTGCCCAGCTTCAGCCTCTCTATGAAGTCCACTGCCCAGCTTCAACCTCAGCCTCTCTATGACGTCCACTGCCCAGCTTCAGCCTCAGCCTCTCTATGACGTCCACTGCCAAGCTTCAGCCTCTCTATGACGTCCACTGCCTAGCTTCAGCCTCTCTATGACGTCCACTGCCCAGCTTCAGCCTCATCCTCTCTATGACGTCCACTGCCCAGCTTCAGCCTCATCCTCTCTATGACGTCCACTGCCCAGCCTCATCCTCTCTATGACGTCCACTGCCCAGCTTCAGACTCATCCTCTCTATAACGTCCACTACCCAGCCTCATCCTCTCTATGACGTCCACTGCCCAGCTTCAGCCTCTCTATGACGTCCACTGCCGAGCTTCAGCCTCTCTATGATGTCCACTGCCCAGCTTCAGCCTCTCTATGACGTCCACTGCTCAGCTTCAGCCTCAGCATCTCTATGACGTCCAGTGCCCAGCTTCAGCCTCTCTATGACGTCCACTGCCCAGCTTCATCCTCTCTATGACGTCCACTGCCCAGCCTCAGCCTCTCTATGACGTCCACTGCCCAGCTTCAGCCTCAGCCTCTCTATGACGTCCACTGCCCAGCTTCAGCCTCTCTCTGACGTCCACTGCCCAGCTTCAGCCTCAGCCTCTCTATGACGTCCACTGTCCAGCTTCAGCCTCAGCCTCTCTCTGACGTCCACTGCCCAGCTTCAGCCTCATCCTCTCTCTGACGTCTACTGCCCAGCTTCAGCCTCAGCCTCTCTCTGACGTCCACTGCCAAGCTTCAGCCTCAGCCTCTCTATGACGTCCACTGCCCAGCTTCAGCCTCTCTCTGACGTCCACTGCCCAGCTTCAGCCTCAGCCTCTCTATGACGTCCACTGCCCAGCTTCAGCCTCAGCCTCTCTATGACGTCCACTGCCCAGCTTCAGCCTCAGCCTCTCTATGACGTCCACTGCCCAGCTTCAGCCTCTCTATGACGTCCACTGCCCAGCCTCAGCCTCTCAATGACGTCCACTGCCCAGCTTCAGCCTCTCTATGACGTCCACTGCCCAGCTTCAGCCTCAGCCTCTCTATGACGTCCACTGCCCAGCCTCAGCCTCTCTATGACGTCCACTGCCCAGCTTCAGCCTCTCTATGACGTCCACTGCCCAGCTTCAACCTCAGCCTCTCTATGACGTCCACTGCCCAGCTTCAGCCTCAGCCTCTCTATGACGTCCACTGCCCAGCTTCAGCCTCTCTATGACGTCCACTGCCTAGCTTCAGCCTCTCTATGACGTCCACTGCCCAGCTTCAGCCTCA